CTCAAGTAATCAACAAAAATATTCCATGGAGAAGCTAAAGGATGAAGTTCAGTCCAGATTATGTAGCCTCAATCCATCTCCACTTAGATGGAAGGAGATCAGCGGGAGACGCTAGAGAAGAACGTTGCAGACTAGAAGGCGCGTCCCAGTCGTGGCATACAGCTGCTATTTAGTCAGAAAGAGAAACAAAATGTACGTACACAAACCATCTGCAAGCGACAGCTGAACATCCTTCTTCGCTATTTTGGGTCATACTTTACAGGGACAGTTCCTCGTCCAAAACCAGGGAACATCGTGACACACCTACAAGTTCAAGAGAAAAGGGCTTGCCCATAGTATGAAGAGGTAGACCACTGCAACTTAGTTCCTGAACTTCCCCCGCAGCGAGTTAGGTCCCTGCAAGATAAGCCCAGTTGAAAGGAAGAAACGGGTGGTTTGCTACAGAAGAAACGCAGTGGGTCCTTGAGGACTGGTCTTACTCCTGTGGCTCTGAAGAAAAGATGCAGGAGCACCCTTTGGAAGAGAACAGCAATGTTTGGGGCAGGTGGGTGGGACAAAAATTAATCTTGCAACTGAAGCCTGCATGTGGAGAAGTCTATGGTGCTTTTGCTCTGGATGTCAGCAATTTAAACGAACAGATCTGGTTCTCTAGGTCAGTCAAAGGATACAGAATAGCCCACTGGCAAGTGCTTCTGACTCTGCTGCTTAACAAGGGTTGCAACAAAGATCTTTCCTTTCCCTGCTCAATCGCTGAAATGAAGAGAGGGGCAATGGGAGGGCCCAAAGTTAGCAAAGGGTGTTCTAAGTGAATCTAAGCCTGGGATAAGAAAAGGAGAGGGGGAATGGAGAGAACTTCTGAGTTTGCTAGTGTTTACAAGATGATGGGGCAGCGTTTAAGTTTCTGGAGGAAGAGACGCTGGGCTTCTCTGAATATGCTGGCCAAGAAAAAAATCGTGGGGTTCAGTAAGGAGTTTGGTCCTGCCCACCTGAATCTGCTCCCCCCACCACCACCACCCCACATTCTATTTGCCCCTGGATCCCACTTGCAGATCTTTGGAGTAATAATTCAAAACAAAGCAGGTGCCTCAAGATGCCTTCCCAAGATGCCTACCACAGAGTGGCATTCCCGTTCTAATCCTAGACTGGCTAGATTCTCCAGGATAAGGGAGGTTTTTGGACAGTTTGTTACCCTTTGAATAGGAAGATGCTACACTTGGAAGGAAAGATTACAAAGTACGATGGGCAGGAAAAGGAGTTGCCCACCCTAGCTTATTCCCAGAGGCCAAATTTAATTTCCAGGTGCTCAGAAACACAGTTATAATGAAAACGTAGCAGCTCGGCACAGCAGAAAGTGTGGAAGGAAGACAGTCTCAAGATGCTGCTGCTTCTGCTGCTGCTGCTGCTGCTGC